AACTTCATGCATTGGATGCTTCCTCTACTGCAGTAACCGGTCATTTACCGAATCTCCTGAGAGCTGGGTCGATGCTGTTGGGTCTGTTGGTGGCTGCCATGACGATGACATGAGCCCTTTGTTTCAGGCCGTCCATGAGAGTCAGCAGCTGGGACACAATGCGCCTCTCCACTTCTCCGTGAGTCTACAAAAAAACAAAACATACATTTAAAACCTTATTGTCTCAATTCAGTTATTCAAGTTTCATTTCTTACCAAGGTCTAGATAACGACCTGCACTGGGATGCATTTCAATCATGAACAGACACAGCATATGTTTGCAGCTATTGATTTAGTTTTCCCGTCTGCTCACTCACCTTCTCTCTCTTAGGGGCGATCGCATCAAGCTCATCAATAAAGATGATGGCAGGAGCATTCTTCTCTGCTTCCTCGAAGGCCTTCCTCAGGTTACTCTCGCTCTCTCCTGCCAGCTTACTCATGATCTCAGGACCTAAAATGGAACCCAAAATACTTCAGTCAGGGTTCATACACTTTTTCACCAATGATTCTCCATGACCTTTACCTCATTTTCCATGAACAAAAACATTACTCTTTCTCAGCGGTACCACTGAAAATGGTTTATTTTAACATGGAACAGGAAAACAAGCTCTGCATATGAAACATGTTGTGCCTATCTAAAACAAATCAAATAGGCTTACTAGCTCCTACACGCTAAAGCAACATCTCTCACCAGCAAAATACCTCGACATGTAAATGCCATTTTACATTTCATTACTATACAGTATTTATCATCATTATAGTATTACTATTTTGGCGATTAGATAAAATATAAATTATATTTGATGCAACTTTAGTTACATTTCCATGACTTTTCCAAAACTTTGGGAAAAATATTGTTTTCCATGACTTTTCCAGGGCCTGGAATTAGCATTTTCAATTTCCATGACTTTTCCAGGTTTGTAATGACCGTAGGAACCCTGTTCAGCTTCAGAGAAAGCTGACCTAAGAGTACATGCTATATTCAATAAGAATCATAATATGTATGGATCACATGATAAACCCTAACCCAGCAACAATAAATAAATAAATACTCGTCTGAGACACTTGCATGGACAAACAAGTGGAATAAAGTATTATCAAACAATACCATTTTCCTTAGTAAAACTTATTATGGAAGATGTTCTATTTGAGTCATTATGTTTCTTAAAAGAGTTCAAGTTTTAAAAAAAAGTATCTACTTGAGTTTTGGGATTGGATAGAATAAGACTTTGGTTTTGTCCTAACCAACAGCAAGTACAAGGCAATGCTGTCTGGGACAAACCACACATCAGAAAATGCTACATATAAGCATGTAGGTGGATGTTCTCACCATTAATCAGGAAGAAGAAAGCTCCAGTTTCATTGGCCACAGCTCTGGCAATCAGGGTCTTTCCAGTTCCAGGGGGTCCATAAAGCATAATTCCACGTGGGGGCTGAAAAGGGGGAGCAGTTGAATATCTTAAATCAAAACTTTATAGCACAAACAAAGAATGGCAAACAAAACCAGTACAAAATATATATAGTGAGTTAGTGCATCTACTTGTTTCGATTAGATGATACTACTAAAGGGAATCAAATTTAAATCTCACATCACTAGATTGGCAAAGCTCAATATATTGCGTGTTGAAATTGTGGATGGGTGTATGTTTTTCATACAGTTTCAACTTCACAATTTGTAATTCTTTAGTTACACACGCTCAGTTCAAACTCAATGAAGGCCAACGTGCCAATGTGTCTCTCCATGCATATTAATGAGGGGACCTTACCTTGACTCCGATGGCCTTGAACAGAGCAGGGTGTCTAAGAGGCAGCTCCACCATCTCCTTGATCTGAGCCAACTGCTTCCTCACTCCTCCGATGTCATCATAGCCCACCTCATTCAGGGACTCTTCCTCATCCTGTATTTTCAAACGCAACAAGTTCAAATGAAAATGCACATTTATTTCTTGGTAAATGTTACCCCATGTGTGTCTGCTACCCACCTCTCTTCTGATTGGCTCTCCCTCACAGTGGATGACGGTGTCAGGCGCAACGATGCAGTAGGGAGAGGGGTCGGTCTCTACCACCTTGAACTCCACAGCACGCATGCCTCCTCTGACCAGGAAAATATCCCCTTCACAAGGCAATAGAAAACATTGTTCATATTAACAATCCAACAAGGTTGCATGTAATACATTGTAAATGTTTTGTTCTGAAAATGAAAATGTGCACTCACCTTTACGGATTGGCCTGTATGCCTCCAGAAAGTATGGCTTCAGGTAGACCTCAAACAGGTTGCCAGTAATCCCTTCTACTGTGTCATCTATTGGCAGAACGTGGATCCTCTTTCCATACTTCACATCGGGACATGGCTGAATGCTGTAGGAGATATTATATTTAAATACACCACTTTTTCTTTTTTTAAACGGGCTGTGTAAAGAAAAGTCCAAATGTGTGCTTTTTCTTACCTGATGACATCACCCAGTCTGACCCTCAGATTGTTGCGGACCACCCTGTTCATGCGAACCTTTTCATCGGAACAGGTGTCGTCAGACAGCACAATGCAGACAGTCTCCCGCCTCTTCTTACCCTTCATCAGCACCGTGTCTCCACGGAAGAGCTGCAGCTCGTCCATCTTGGTCTTAAGAGACATTAACCAAAGTTATTTGGAGCTTTCAATGTTTATACATTTTGAATGTCAAGTCAAAAGATAATTGAATTGATCCATTACACTATTTAACAGGGTTTAGAAATGGTAGAGACATTAGCCTTGCATTAAGCCTTCTGAATGTTTACCTGAGAGAGAGAGACCACACTGTTGTCTTCATTGATGGATTCATCAACGATCAGTCTGTTGGGTCTGCTCTTCTGTTTCAGAATAGCAGTGGCCAGATCATCTTGTATCTTGCTATGAAAATAAACAAGTTGTAGATTAATAATCAAATAAACGTGGTGCACCTTTAAGGCATTACCCACATCCTGCAATAAGCAAGTTAGTAACTGTATAACAGACATTGTACAGGAAACCATTAATGTTACACACTAAAGGGTTACTTAATTATATATGTTTGTGTTAAACCAGTGCCCCTAAAGGTGTTCTGTGAAACTTCTCAGTTTCTTTGTAAAGTCTTGGGGCATAACAAAAAAAATGCTTTAAATGTTAACTTGGAGGAGAGCTTACTGTGTTCAGGGGGTAAATACAATGAACTCCTTACCCTAGGAGTTCTACACAGATCATGACTGGTGTCATATTGCTCCCAAAAACAAACAGTGTCTGAAGAGAGATTACTCTACTTAGTACTCAGGCATTACTGCATCTTAGCATTGATTGTTTGTCTGTTGTATTAGTGGTTGTGGGTTTATTTAAGAAATATAAAATCTGATTATTTTTTTTAAGAATATGAATTGTACATACATTTAAATATAAATATATATAAATGATATGAACTATTCGTGAATTCTAGTAAACTGGTAATTTATTGTGAGTATATATATCCATGTTTTCTTATTAACAGAAACTCTAAGAATAAATAATTATTTAACGTCATTTATGTAACAATAAGTGTAAACAGGCTAAACAACAAGGCTCTTAACCCCCGTGACCAAACGTTTCTTTCTGATTATATGTACAATCTGTTAAAAAATACCGTCGAACCAGTAGTCAACGGAAAGCTGTACTGTCCACAGGTTTCCAGAAAGATCCAGGATCTGTTTTGAAGTTTCTCTTTCATGTTGTTAGCATGCTAATACTAGCCTTGAAGCTAACTGACTGGCGAGCAAGCGAGCCCAGATGACACAGCAAAATAATTAGAAAAAACTTTGTAGCTAGCTTGGATCCTCAACATAAAGACTAACGTTAACACGTTATCGGTACTTCAAATACAATAACTGCCGACCTAAGCTTAGACTACGTATGTTATTTCACGACCGTTAGGCTCATAGCAAATCAGAACCCAAGTAAAATGTCAATCGTTTGGAATGAATAGCCCGTTAGCATGCTAGCTGTTAGCCACCTGGATGACTAGCGTAAACGGCTCGTGGGGCCGTTAGTCTGTTACCCACGTCTTTGCCACTTGCCCTTCATACTTATAACGTTATGTGCCCATTTACATAATGAAACGCGTTTATAAGACAGGCCGTTAGCCGGTGTATAAGCTAACTTGTCGGTGTAATGGCGTTGGCCTTGACACAGTTGCTAAGCTAGCGTTAGCATTCAAACACGACAGCGATGACTGCGCTTTGTCAAGTCGCTGTCACAGCGATGGCTAATTTGAGACTGTTAACTGGCCAACGTGTGGATGGAAACTGTCAACAATACATTGGGATAATACCCCCATATTAATACCCAACTGTCAATAGATCTGCAACAATAGGTTATTCAACGAAGGGACACAAGTGCGGAGGCTGAAGTAACTGACCCCGTTAGCAACCAAGCTAACTTAAATAAACCAACGTTAGCCGTTTAAAAGACATTTGCTGGCAGACATTGTTCAGAAACCTGCATTTTAATACGACAGAAAGATGTTGGTACTTACTCCGCTGCCGAGGACATGGTCGTCCGCCTGGTTTACTGTTAATAAATAAAGAAATTATAGCTAAATGTTTAATAGGCTTAACCGGTTCAAGATACACAACGTTCTCTGTGATTTCACACGAAACAGCAGCAGTTTCCGTGCTCTTCTTTACAATTATACCGTGAGCTGAAAGAATCCTGCATTCTGATTGGCTGGTAGCTGTACATCAGATTTGGTGGCCAATGAAAGAGTCTGCAGTCTGACGTCATCGAGAATATTGAGAAAATGTGTCCAGTTACAGATAAGGGGGGGTTTCTATTTTCCTCAACTCAACTCTTATTGGCCATTTAAGCCCGTCAAGCAAACTTCTGTCATCCAATACATTTGCACCGCGTTGTTGCTGTGAAATCGTATACATATGAAATGTCTTTTTTACTCTGGACATTAACGGCATACATGTAAAGAACAGTGCAAGTCATTTGTGAGTTTTATTTGTAATGGCAATCCATACAAAAACAGGTATAAATAGACATTTTAGAGTAACACAGTTTATTGTGTGTGTCTTCTTAAGTAGTACGTATTGTGTTATCTTATGTAACCCACAATCAATTTTAAAGTAACATTCCCTTACTCATGCCTGGCAAAATACACATTTTGTTTCTAACAAGCCAGTTGAGACCCTCTGTGACCAAACAACAGCATATCAAGTCATCTTAATTTCAGGAATAAAACATCTGCCAAATTTACCACACCATGCACTTTCAATACTTGTTTATTTTTACTGTCCAAGTAGACACGTGTTTGTTGTGGGTATGGGTTTCAGTTTACAGGAAACAGAAAGTTGATCCTGTTCAGTAAGTGATAGGGTATTCTTCTTTTGTCTCGCTCACAATAAAGGACCAAGTTCCTGTATTCTGCGGCGCAGCTCCATGGAGTCCAATTGAGGACCAGACTGGGGTTCGTGTAGGTACACTGATAGACTCCTGCAACACAGTAGGCATACACCATTAAGAATGAAGGTAACATAACTGCAGAGTAAATGTGCTTAGCTTGAAGCAGCAACAGAACAATTATACTAATAGGGGCTTTAATTGTGTTTTCTTTGAAGAACATCCTGATCAGAACAAGTATCTCAAGTTAGCAGCAAATATTCAGCATCTAAATCCAAACGTGATAGACTCCACTTCATATGTGGAATCAGAATACATTTAAAATGCATTGAGTAACCAGTTGTAATCAGATTTTAACCTCCATGTGTATATTTTGGGTTCATCGGTCTGATTAAATGTGGTCTAACTGTATTACTTTGTGAAATTGTATGTTTGAGTGATATTACCTGATCATGACAACTGCCTGCATACCAACAACAATGACAGGAAACAACAGGCATTACTGCTTTATCATTTTGCTGTAATTAAAATGTCAAACTCCAGTCTGAAATGTTAAGAAAAAGCCAAATTACCATTTGTCCTGGTATATAAACTTAAAGATAAAGTAATCTTGGTTTACCTTACACACGGTGCAAGGTCACATGGGGTCGTTACTACTTCTGGGTGTGGCTACCCTCAAATCCTACTACTACTTTCAGGCACCTTTACTCATGTAAAGCATACACGAGCTGTACACGTGTAACCAGGTCACCCAAGAGATGATAAGATTTACTTTATTGAACCTAATTTGGGAAATGTTTTCATCACAACAGCATGTTAAAAACAAGGCATTGCACATATTTAGTAGAAAATAAACAAACAAAACATATAAACATCTTAAAATAGAAAATAAAACAGAACTAAAAAGTAAAATATATAAATGACGACAGTGAAAGATACAAATCTGTAGACTATCTATCAAATAAACACTATAAAGGGCCAGATTAAAGCTAAGAAAATGTAAAAGTAGGATATTGTTTAAATTAAAGGTGGGGTATGTCATTTATTTCAGAAACACTTTTTGTTATATTCCATGGAATGCTCTTAACATCCCGATAGCAATGAATACATTAAATGCTTTGACAACAAATCCATAAAAAAAGTCATCTGTGGAAGCCGTAGCTCTGTAAAAAGCACGACCAATCATTTTAGCCGGCCCGGCTAAAATAACTGGATGGCCTACCTGCCTGTCAGCCTTCCATCTGTGCACAAACTTATCTCGTGCCCTCATTGGTCATGTGCGCGTTCGTGTGTGTTGGAGGAGGGGCTCTGTAAGGAAGTCTGAATTTTTTCGGCTGCGTGCTTTCAAATTCTAGCGCACTCGAGCTGGTTTCTCCAAAATTACCTACCCCACCTTTAAGTGTGCAATATATAATATGACAGTGTCTTACTCTTCTGAGGACTGTGGGGTGAAGCTCCAAGTGTTTTCCCAACAAGCCGCTGCCTCCCGTCTCCTGCCCAGCCTCCACAGCACCTCTCCACACCAGAGGCCTGCAGTGGCACACTCTGAGGCAGCACATCAGACACACATTAGAGTTTATAGTAAAAGACCACACAGACCAAATGCAGAACTGTGATTGTATTGCCCTCTACTAAGACTTCAAACATCTGGGAAAAAACAATACTCAATCAGAATGCTGTTCGTTGATTTTAGCATCAGAATCAGAATCAGAAACAGGTTTATTACCAGGTAGGTTTACACGTACGAGGAATTTGACTTGGTGTCGTGGTGCATACATAAAAGTAAAACAAGAATTAAAAACACAGGTAGAGAACTAGAAAAATATTTAAAATAATAAAAAAGATAGTAAAATATATAACAGTATTTACATTGCAATGGAATGGAATAAAAAGGAATACAATATGGGATAAAATCGGCAGTAGCAAAAAAAAGAAGAAAACTCAAAAAATATTGTTACATATTGTGTGCATTAAAAACAATATTCCCCTTGAAACAGATTTAGCACCCTGGGCTTGAGTAGTAGTAGGGTAACCCTAATAAGGTATATTGGACCACCACCCAGGTAGAATGGTGCTCAGAAAACAACTTGAATCTCAATTAAAAAAAATCAAGAAACTGATCGTTGATTTAAAAAAAAAAAAAAAAGAGGTGCACATGCCTGGCTACATCCCTGGAGCTTTGGTAGAGCAGGTGAACAGATTAAGGCTCATGTATAGCCTGTTTTTAATATCTATTCTCTTATTTCTAATCTCTTGCCGCTTCAAAAACTGTTATAATTGTATTTGAATGTCATTTTATAATGTGTGTCTTTTGCACTCATTACTGGATGCTTTTGATGTTTTTTGTCTAGCACCATGAATTGACTCCTGTCCTCATCCTCAACACAATCCAACACAAAAATAGAGTTCTGTTTTCTTGGTGTTCTTATGTAAAAAGTGGGACTACAATTGCATTGCTTATTACAATAAATGATCCTTGTATCATGTTGTTTAGATATCTTACAGACAAATACAGTTTGAATCATATGGCTGACCTTGAATTGCCTTTCACCCGTGCAAAGGCATACATCTTGTGTCCAACATAGCTCCAAGCTCTGCGGTCTATATCATTAAGTTACAGCTGCGGTAAGTGTACCTGGGAATGCCTGCAGGCTGAGCTGTAGGTCCCTCAGTGCCTCTCTCAGTTGGTCTGTTTGGGTGAAGCTGATGCCTCTACCCGCCAGTGAAAGCCCCTTCAACCTCTGGAGGATACACAGGTCTGTTCCCTGCTTTCCAACCATATCTGCACTGGGAATCTGCGGTTGGAAGCCTATAATTGAACAACAAAGCGACAGAATTAAATGCAGTAAGGTGTGAAAGCAAGGCAATTACTCTCCAAACTGTCAAAAAATAACACAAATCATTCTCACCTCTTTTCTTCAAGCGCACCTTCACCAGCAGGTTGAAACACCTGTAAATGCAGAGTACATTTCACATCAGTAATACATCTCTGATCTCCTGCTACATTCAAAACTCTCAGGTGTCCTGGGACGGGTCTGCTTTCTGTCCCCAGAGTCAGAACTAAACGGAGAAGCCGCGTTCAGTTATCCAAATATCTGGAACAAACTATCAGAAACCTGCAGGTCCGCTGCAACTCTTACTAGTTTTAAATCCAGGCTGAAGACTTTTCTTTTTGCCGCTGCTTTTAACTGAACTATTCATATCTTACACTGCACTGTAACTTGTATTCACATATTCCTGTGTAATTCTATATTAGCTTGTTTTACGTTTATTTTATTCTCTTTGCTTTTGAATGAGAATGTGTTTCCGCTGCACTATTTATTAATGCTCTTAATGTTTTTCATTTTTGTAAAGCAGTTTGATTGCCTTGTGTTGAAAGGTGCAATACAAATAAACTTGCCTTGCAATGATTTACAATCTTACATTTTTGTTTTTAATCTCGAAAACTGTAGGCAGAAATAAAGGCAATTGTACGGGCCTTGCGTAGTGAGTCACAGCTTGTTTCCAATCCTTCAGGTGAGTGTTGCAGTGACCATGGAGGAGGTAGGCAGCTGCCGTCCAGAGAAGCATTCCCACCCTATCTTCACCCCCCCCGCTCAGAGCCCTGCTCCCAGCCTCACACTCCTCATCCGGCTCTTCCAACACCACTCTCTCAGGCAGCAGCTCCAGTGTTGTAGTGATGACTTCATCGCACAGCGCAACACAATCAGCGGGGCGTTGGGCCATGAGCAAGGCAGCGCCGGCCTGCAGGTAGAGCTCAGGCAACCTGGGGAGGGGAGGGCTCCCAGCATGCATCTGAGGAAGAGACATACAGCCAACAGATGGGTATTAATGAGATAGGAAAGTATATAGGTAATGTGCTCTGTGCTTTTTTAAATATATCTACTGTCAGTGTTTCCCATACATTGATTTATTTGTGGCGGGCCGCCACAATTAAATATCGTCCGCCACAAATGGATCTCATAAAAAAATTTTTTTTTATTATTATCCTTTTTTTTTTTTTGGTTCCCAACCCCCGGTGTTACTGCCGGGCCGCGAAATAGCTGTGAGTTTATCGTAATATTTGCAGAATTATAAATATATAAAAATATTTTATCATAATATTTTTTTCAAAAAGTGTTTAATTTTTGCACCTATACCAGTCATATTATTTCATCCAGTAGCCTAGTTAATCTTTCACCAAAAAACCATTGAAAATGGCTTTTATGATGTTCCGAGGGATTCGGCGGCTCAGCCTCTCGAGCGCACGAGAAAGTTACCGGTGCGCCAAGTAGGAAGAGGAGCGTACAGGAGACAACCGTTTAATTGCAGACTGTTATGTTTATGTGGGGAAATGGCAGTGCATACATTTTTTGAGATATATTTCAAACTCGGACTTCATTTTAAGAACATGTCGGCCAGGGGTGTAGAGCTATTTGTTTAAGTACCGGATTGGCAAAACAGGAGAGTAAACCAGTCTGCCTTGATCTATGAATTCATGTCCGGGACTCTCACGCTATCTGCTGCCCGCAGCTGTTTTATAGAAGGAAAACTTCCTTCATGAAATGGCTGCAGCATCAGGAGGCAGCGGGACGTGTAACTCCGCTTCTGAGAAGTGCAGCACCAGCGCGCTGAGAGCTGTGCCTTTTTACGCACTGCCTTCGCTGTGTTTACCTTCATCAGAACAGCTTAAGAGTGACTGCAGGCTGCTACGTGTTAACCACACACACCTCTACACACATCTCTACACACACCTCTACACACATCGAACTGCCCGATTACTCCCCCTTTTATTAGTTTTATGAAGGAGATGTCCAGTCACCAAGGCGCATGATGTGCGTGTGTGTGTGTGTGTGTGTGTGTGTGTGTGTGTGTGTGTGTGTGTGTGTGTGTGTGTGTGTGTGTGTGTGTGTGTGCTCTGCTCAGCTCAGCTCTGTGTTTGTGTCTGTCCGACACCGGCATTTGTTTTCAAATGACCATGAACAGTAATTTACACACATCTGGCTAACTCCATAGGTAGCCTATATGCGGGTGTTCCCAAAATAAATTAGTTTAATCTTAATCTCGATGTAGTGCTAAATGCTGTCGGACGTGCACCGGAACGAACGTCACACACACACACACACACACACACACACACACACACACACACACACACACACACACACACACACACACACACACACACACACACACACACACACACACACACACACACACACACACACACACACACACACACACACACACACACACACACACACTTCATAATGCGCCTTCTCCTCGTTTTCCCATCACTGGATTATCCGTAAATCATACAAACAAAACCAAAACGTTGATTTATCTGTTTTCCCCGTTTTGGTTTTCCGAAAAAACCAAAAAACGACACCGGTTCTTTTTTAAACGTTGTTAATATGTTTTGGATGCATATTGTTCTAGTATTTGTTCAGGCTGTTACATACAATTAGCCTCTGATGCTACCTGCTGGTGGTGAGTAAATATTAAAATTAGTTAAAATTGACAACCGGTCCGCGATTTTTTTTTCATGTATCTGCCGGTCCTTGGCACAATAAAGGTTGGGAACCCCTGGATAGTGAGGTGGGCTGATGATCGGAAGGTTGCGAGTTCAAATCCTGCCTGGAACACCACTTGCCCTTCACTAAGGCACTTGGCCCTCGGTTACTCCGGGGAGAATGTCCCTGTAATTGGTCATTGTAAGTCGCTTTGGAATAAGGCGTCTGCTAAATGCCTAAATTGTAAATTATATTTTTGGGAGAATAAACCCCACAGATCCTCAACTCCGGTGTGTCTCACTCATTAACAACGCAACACAGAGCAACAACAACGTTGTCTACAGTAGCCATGAACTCGCATGTATTATCTTATTTGAGGGGGGGGTGGATGCGTGGACCACCCGAATAGGCTAAGGGGCCTTTGGCTTTTCTTGCCGGGGGAGGGGGGGTGCGGTGCCCCCACAAATAGAATCAAATTCTGTGGGAAACACTGTACTGCTCAACAAGTATGCTATGTGTCGTTCATACTTACTCCATGTTGATCTTCTGATTGAAGAGCAGCCAGCAGATCTAAATAATATTCAACACCCTCTGACACCCTGTGGAAAAAACACCCATATCAAAAATCATAATGTGCACTGCTCTCATCTCCATCTTTCTGTTTTTAAGTAAGATGCCAACAAAAGACAGCGCCTGTCTTCATACCTCCCATGGAGCACACACTTCAGGGCCAGATTGTGAAGGATAGAGAGAGCAGAGGGGACTGAGAGCATGCTGCTCAGGGATTGGCTGCACAGCAGTAAGGACGGGGAGAGGAGAGGGGTACCGGCCAGAGGGGGCTCTGTGGCGGAGGGCAACATCAGAGTCTGTGGGACAAGAGAGGCTTCATGTTTCACTATGCAGGCCTACATTTACATGAATATATGTCAGTGAGCCAAAGTACATTTAGTTAACTAGGCAGATACTATGTTTTTAACAACATTAGTGTCTCTACAACTACAAGGCAAACACTTAGACTTATTTCACAGGCATTTGACACTTATTTATTTGTTGCTTTGTATGTACTGATGATGTGTGCTACTCACTGAGTGCAGCAAACGCAGAGCTTGTATCTCAGCCTGTGTGTTGCCAAGCTGCCTGTAAATGAGCATGCTCCGGTACAGAGCACACAAACACCGGCGATCTGTTTCCAGAGCTTTCCTGTAACACTGCAAGGCCATCTGAGGGCGGCCCTGCAGACAAATGCAAACACACTCACACTCTCACTGCATGCACATCTAAAAACTGTAAAATATATGCTCATTTTATTTTTTTAGTACTGTTTGAGTAGTCAACGTTTGCATGTGTACCATATGGGCGAGGCAGGATCCTGAGAGGAGGTGTGTGTATGCTATTAGAGTCCTGGGAGCAGGCAGAGAGGAAGCTGTGTGGAGAGCAGACAGCGCTTCTGAACTCTGACCTTCACTCAAGCTTTCTGCACCTTAAGACATACAGAGGACAGCAAAACATATGATTAGTTACTCAATTCCTCCAAGAGAGGGAGACAGATCTTCCCTATACTACTACTGAATTATAATCATGTTGTCTTTCATTGGCCTCCATGCAAAAGTATTACCTATATGCTACACACAATATTTAGCCAATTGTATCTTCTCTTCAAATATGCATTAACTAAAAATAAGAATGTTGCTGACCTTGGGCAATGTAAGTGCAGATCTGCAATAATTCAACCAGCTTCCTTGGGTCCATCACCAGTAGAGGATCGTCAGAGGACTTCCTCCCCTTATCCCAAACTTCAGTAGACAGTCTTTCAAACACAGACATCAACTCATTCTGTATAACAGGAAAAATACAGTATAGTTTAACTGGATGCCACAAAGTCGGGGACTGGACACGTAAGCATGCCAGCAAATATATATTATGAAGAATATAATTGTCATATACTTGATTTCTGTGTCTGTTTTTGTGTGTGTGTACATAGTTGGGTTGTGGCGCGTGTTATGGCATATCACAATAAAAAACACTCACAATAAGTTGATCTTGGAGAATTTACATGATCGGAATATTCATGAGTATCATTTCAGGAGTGAATTGAAAAAGCTGATTGGTTTGCTATCATGGTCGAGTAAACCTATTAAAACATGGTGGGGTTTACTTGGAAATTACTTGGAGGTGTTGTTTTATGAGGATATGAGGACTTTGGTGGAGTGGTTTGGTCTACACCAGTGGTTCTTAACTGGTGGGTCGCGGACCCGTTTCGAGTGGGTCGCAGATGTGTGAGTGAAGAAAAAACAAAGTTGAAAAAATATATATCTTCTTTTTTTTGTGTGGAAAAAAGTCAAACTTTTATTTTGAAGGCCCGATTTTCTAACACTGTGCGTGCAGTAGGCGTTGGACTGGAAGATCCGGAGACCATAAACGGTTTTGAAAACTTCTGTCATGTAGTGATCATTTTCTCAATAAAACATCTTTGCTGATGTTTTTTCGTGTCTTCTGGCCAATCAGAATCAGGAGTGTACCAGAATGCGTAGTTTATATGTTAGTATTTCAAAAAATCTCCTATGGGGGAGAATCCCCCCAGACCCCCTGCTGGGGTTGGGTTTTCAGCATGTGTGCCTTTTTATGTTATACAGTTCAGCTTTGATTCCATCATCTCATTAAACCTTATTTAAAAGCATACTTTAGTTCTGTGAAGGGTTATATGCACTGTACTTCACTTTCATTAATCTTGTATGCTGAAAAGCGTATATATTACAGCAAACATTTTTGTTGAATAGATTTCAGTTGTTCAAATTTCAGGTCGCGATTTATTGACAAAGGAAAAAGTGGGTCCCGAGGCCTGACCAGTTGAGAACCACTGGTCTACACTATCCTGTACTGTACTGAACGGAGGTCACGCAGAGTCCCTTTAACCACAATAAACATGTGAGGAGGAACACAGCCTAAGAACAGGATCTTACCTGAAATTCCTGTATAGTTTTCAGCTGACAGGTAGACAGCCATATTGCCCACTGCAGACAGAGAAGGCGCAGTACACAGGGAGCCAAAGCGGTGTTTCCCACTGATTTAAGAACTGTTCTCCAAAACAAATGAGGGTCCGAGGCAGCAGGGTCATCTTCTGTAGAAGTACTGTGTACTTGTAGAACTGCGAAAAACAATAGCAGGCTGTTAAAAGTCAGAGCTGAGCTATTTTTCAAAACAATAATACAACTGAATGGCCCTTGTGTATGGCACGAGTTCCAGTTTCGTCTTCATGTCTCGTTTTGTCATTTAACAGTTGAACCTACCTCTCTCTGTGGATTGTGTGAGGAGCAGCTCAGCTTCTGAGAACTGAGACTGAGCAGTGAAGCAAACACAAGCATTGTACACCACTGTCAGCTCCAACTGTGTGTGATCTGCAAGAGGAGGGATACCTGCAGGATGGGACACAGGGACATACAAAGAGTGAGACAGAGGAAGCTTAAAAGGTAACAGCTGAGCTCTCTGCATCAACAAATGAGACCCAGATGGGTTTCTGACCTAAGAGGTGGTGATTCCCACTACCCTACAATGGATTTTAGATACATTCAAACATGCATGTCACCATAATGAAGGACTTGGATCACCTTGGATTTTCATTAAAAGTTTGTGAAACTCAGAGGAACAGCATCTCAGATGGGTCTGGCTCTGGTCTCGTCCGAGGGTATCTCCTCCTCCTACTTGCTGCTGAAATAATACATTGAAAGAAAACGTTGTAACTTTACTATCATACTGAGAGTATTAAGATGTTATGCTACTGTAGATTGCTACTGTACTACACATTAATATGGGCATATTTAAGGGAATGTATCACAACATATATTAGGTCTAGTTTTAAATGATCGCTCCAAAAAGACTCTATACAAAACACATTATTAGTTTATAATTATTGCAAAACCCAACAGTATTTGCATCGGTTCAACTCATCCAGCTACAGCAATACAATTACCTTGTAAGATGTTAACATTATGTAATTATAATAATATTATGTAAAGCATTAAAATAGCAATATAAAATTAACGAAAAGCCATTCTGGATAATGACTAATTTCCCTTTGAAATAAGAAGTATATTTTTTTGTCAATACTACAGACTTTGAGTTCAATTTTAAATGCGGGACATTATTATTGTACTGCCATATTTACTACATTAATCGACTAAAATCCTTATTGTGCCTCTGGTTTTAATCATCAATACAAAACACATGCAATGAAACTTTCATATTTCAACTATCATATCATATCTTTATGTTTAATGTTAGTCAAACTAAAATACGGTTTTAATGCTCTTTATTCTATTCTCAAGTATAGAGAGTATACTAATATAACGCTAAATTAAGGTTACAGTATTTAACAGAGTTGTTGATGCTAGCGTTGAGACGAGACACTTAAACTTCCTACCTTCCATTTGTTTACTAACTCGTTGTTTTCCTGGACCCATCTCTCTAACAAATGAAGAGGTTGAAACGTTTTAATAGACATTACATCGCTGTTTTGTGTAAAAGTTAGACGTGTTTTGTTTAAACTTTCCCTCGTTTGTGGAAAGGGAGCTGAAACAGGAAGTAAACATTAGTGAGGTTGTTTTTAACATTGGGGCTGTGCTGCCCCCTGTGGACAAAGCAGGAAACTACACCTGCAGTCTGCTAACTGTCCAGCAGGTGGTGCTGCTGCAGCGCCAACAACACTTGTGTTCTAGAAACTTCAATTTTAGGATTTGTTTTTTTACAGCCATCAACCTGAAGTGTTTCTGCTGTTTATGTGTGTTTATTAGCTCTATAATCAACAAAATAAGCAAACAGATATAGACATGATTGCACATCTTTTATATATTCAGGTTTAAAGCAAGTGAACATAAGCCAAGGCCGTAATTGTATTGGTGCTGTGTCATCCTTGAGCCTGCCAGGATGGCCATTTTTCTAGTTGTCCTTACCAAGGTGACTCCCTCTTTTCTCACCCATTTCCACTCCCCTCACCCATCTATCATCCCTCCATCAATGCATCGTCTTGTTCCCTGTTGTCTGCAACCTCCATAGCTTCATTACAATCTTCCAGCTATTCCCTTCTTTCATTGTCTTAAATCACAGAAAACTCTAAATATATCATCATGGAAAAACATCCACTGCTTCACTCTCAAAGACTTGCAGATGCACAGGCATGCACACACAAACACAAAAGATGACTTTATGTCTGATTCGACACATATTTTTCCTCCTAGGGTTTCACTTCTCTTGTGGCATTTTTCCATTTCTTTCCATGCATTAAAGTGCAAGGTCATCAAATGGCTGAAGCCTCCCATCTCATTGGATGCTGTCCCTCTGACAATGTCATTCACATGGCAGGAATTCAAACTTTCACAAGAAAGGTTTGACAAATAATGTAACTGCGACAAATCCACCCCTGGCAGCAGCAGGGGCGGATCTACCGGGGTGGCATGGGGTGGCAACTGCCACCCTAAACAATAGCCTTGCCACCCCAGCTGCCACCCCAGTTGGCATCTTTGTTTTGAAAGAAAAGTTGTGGCTCATCGGACATTTATGAGAGAAAATCTCTAATGTCCGAGTGCAAATGAATGCAGCACAAGATGCACGTCATGTAACCCCTCCCCCGGTCCTGGCGCGAGAGTGGAAATATGATGGCTAATTCACTTGAACGGGGGGACGGCGCAAAACGAGAAGCCTTTCGGACCCAAGCACTGAAGGAATGAGGTAGTTGCGGTCTCCAATGACAGAGAAGAGAATGTCAAGTTTGGCTGTACTCAGCATTGAATCAAAACGCACTACAGCTGTTGATCTTAATAAGTTTGTGAGGCGTTTTGCTGAACAAAATACTAATCGCCGCATTCAGCTGTAATAGACATGCCAACTTGATGCTCTGCTCACGGATGACTCGATGAGAATAACAAACTGTTAAGATGATGACCTTGTATGCGTGTATATATTTTTTTCTTTGAGGGGGTCTGCCCCCAAAAAACAGTTTTAAGTCCTGAGAAAGTCAAATAAGACGGTGTGTAAAACTACACTGCCCAGCCAACAGAAAGTAACCACTTTGATTTAACTAGGCCAGTAGGTAAGGACCTTCCACTGGATAATAACTGCAGCGATGTTTTAGCTGAATACACGTTTTTTAACCCTAACTGATGCAGTTAGTCACTTCTTTAATGTTTGTTCTTTCTGATGTAAAGTCAAGGTTGTAACTGTATATCAATAATGATATAATTACTTGTTTTTCAAATTTGAAGGAGGGTGAGCAAGCATCATTAACTCCTCCAAAAAATATAGTTTATTCAATAATAAATGAATATGTGAATCATAACAGTTCTTCACTATATCTGTAAAGCGTCTTTGAGCACCTGTAAAAACGCTAACAAATTAAATCTATTATTATTATTATTATTATTTATTAACAGTGATTGACAGCTGATAGGAATAATATGATTGTTAATAGTATCATAGTCATTCAGACAAACATCGATGAGACAGTTCATTAATGTACTTATTGCAGCAGTCTGCATAGATTTGGTTCCCCTGCTGGTCTAAGAGTGAAACAAACTCATTCAGTTATTGTTCAGTTAAAATTCATTAAATTACGTCTGCCACCTTGTAAGGCTTTACTGATGTGCCACAATAATATCACCTATGTGATTGAGTTAAAATATTAATATTGTCGCTTTCCAAGTTAACATTGATTGTAGGGGTGTAACGGTTCACAAACATTTCGGTTCGGTGTACCTCAGTTTTTAGGTCACGGTTCGGTTCGGTACGTTTTCGGTACAGCAGAAAAAATTATCACAAAACATTAAAAACATTTTTTTTATTATTATTAAACTGTGACTAATGTATTCAAATAAATACAAAATATAGTAAAATAAACATTAATGTGCAGCATTTCGATGAACTGAAATAATCTGTATTTGAACTGTACTGCACCTAAGCAGCCAGCTTGACATTAGGACTTGCTTGTCATTGTATTTTCATGTTGTTTTAAAGAAAGATGAACTTGTCCACATTGCTTGCTGAAAGGGCAGATCTGCTGGCACTAACAATGTCTCCTGCTGTGGAGAACACCCTCTCTAGGGACAGAGGTAGCAGATACAGCCAGGTAGCGCTTTGCTAACATGGCAACATAAGGATATTTGGCGTTTGTAATAGCTTTGGCTTGGTCTGAACTTTTTACGAGTGGTGGAGGCTTACATGCTAGTGGGAGTTGGGTTTGCACTTCAGTCTTTTTTCTTTTGGTACCGGTGATATTCACATTCGGGTGATGCCTTTTCAAATGAGTGTGATGTATTGCCAGCCGCGTAACCAATGTTAGTTGAACAATGCCGACAAACAGCTTTGGTTCGGTCCACCTGTCTTTGTCCGTCATCCTTGTACGTAACTGCGAAATCAAAATGTTCCCAAACCGGAGACTTCAATGATGCTGGAGGATTTTCGAGCTCAACTTTATCTGCGTTCGCCATTTAGACAGTTCCTCAAATTACTGACTACATTTGAACGCATCCCTGTGACCAGCTCTCATAGTATGCCTCTCGTCTAATGAAATGACTTGGTCGCTCTATGATATAGATTACTTCCAGAAAGTTGTTCATGTTCTCAATTTTTTACGTTTAACGCTATATTCGTTCGGTACACACGTGTACCGAACCGAAGGGCCCGTACCGAATAATTTCAGTACGGGTACGTGTACCGTTACACCCCAATTGATTGATATGATTGCGATTTAAATCAGCATATACTTCTGTCAGGGGATGCCACCCCTCAAAATCTCCTGCCACCCTCTTGCCACCCCATGAATATTTGTCTAGATCCGCCCCTGGGCAGCAGTGAAGTGCAGATTGTGTTTCATTTGTGAGGAAGCCAAAATCTGCCTGTTCTGCTGGATTTAACAGCGCCCAAACACCTTGGTCATTATAATGAGTTATACCACTGACCATCACTGATACTAAAACATCCAATTAAAGCCGAAATGTTCTAACACAGAATGATTACAAAAAATGTAGAATTTAGCTACTAACAGTTAAATAATACTGAATAAGGGGCAACATGAGCCATCGTGGAGAAGAGATCCTTATAACACCACAACTGAATTCTGCCTACTCTGTTCCATTATCCTCATCTTTAAAACATGAAGCTAGGGAGGGGCTGCATGTTATTTCTGTCCTGCATGACCCTCAGCCACCGTAAACATGTGACATTTTATGCAAAACACTCTGACTGTGTGTTTCACATATAAGAAAACCACACGTTTTATATAACGCATTTGAATACGTTTAAGAAAAAGGCTGATCAACTGGTGTTCAACTTTGATAAGATTACAGGACCTTAAACAGACAAGGTTGCTGGAGGACACGCCTTTTGTGTCACACAGTCCCCTGGGTGTCATTGGGCTGACAAACACACATGTTCCGGGATGAAGAAAATGCTGATAGAGAGAAATTAGTGTGTGCTGAACCGTCTCAAGGGAAACGCTCACAGTTATCCCTGCTTCTTAAATGCATGCAGTCTAAACTCACTCACCCTCAGTTTGAGTAATCAATACGTTCTATACGTGCTCCTCAGAACTGGTCCTTTTCTGAGAGCAGACATCCCTTCAGCAAAATGTGTGTGTGTGTGTGTGTGTGTGTTAGTGCTGAATCACTGTAGCTCAGTGTGTGGTGTGCATGAACTACAATGCTTGGATTCTTATACAAGGCTGCCATGTTTGGTCTGCAAACACATCTGCACAACTGGAGATGATTTCATTTTTAGAAACAGAAAGAAGCAGCAACAAAAGTAATATTTAAACTAAAAGGGGGAATAAACCTGTGTATGTGTGTGTGCGTGTGAGTTAAGAGGGGAAAAGAAAAAAGAGATTCTGTCAATGGCCCAGCAGTCCCAGGGGGGTGGCGTGGATCTGCAAACTCACACTGCAGCACTACAGCTGGAGCATCAGCAGAACACACTGCACACTCACACTATCAGTTCACACATACTTCAGCCCAGGAATATAAATGTATTAAAATGTATAAAAAGCTTGCAAAAGTAGACTTGAATATAGATATAAAAATCACCCAAATCCAAATATATTAGTTAATATTTACCACAAATGATTCATTTCCCCCCCATGTATTTTCACGCACTCAAGCTTTAGGGTGTACAATAATGAGAGAAGCTTGAACACATTTTATATCCCTTTAAATCAGTATTTAGATGTGTTGCTTTGATAAATTACACCTCGTTAACACCTTAAATAATAAAACTCATCAACAAGGTGCTACACTGATGCGGGCGAATATTTTCCTGCGCAGCCATACTTTTCTGGGGAACAGATATCTCTTTAAACAGAGTGTGTGTCCTGGTGCTGACTTGAGAGTTTTCCCTCCCTCCTATAAAAGCGCAGCGCTCTCGCTCCTCTGCAGTCACATCTCATCCAGCCAAGATGAGTTTCACAGCAGAGCACCACCTCTACGGCCCGTCCTCGTACCGCAAGGCTCGGCCCTCCTCAGGGTCCTCCAGCGGCTTCCACTCCCAGCGCCGCCGCCTCACCTACAACCAGCCGCCCGCCGCAGACAGCCAGGACAACTTCGGCGGAGACATGACTCACAGGAACGAGAAGGAGATCCTGCAGACTCTCAATGACAGGTTCGCCGGCTACATCGACAAGGTGCGCAACCTGGAAATGCACAACCGCAACTTGGAGGCAGAAGCCGAAGCTCTGCGGCAGAACCAGGCCGGGCGCAGCTCGGTTGGAGAGCACTACGAGCGAGAGCTGGGCGACCTTAGGGGTCTCCTGCAGCAGCTGACGGGGGAGAAAGCCCGCGCTGCCCTGGAGCACGACCACCTGGATGAAGACATCCAGCACCTGCAGGCCCGGCTCGAGGAAGAGGCGCGAACCCGGGAGGAGATGGATGCTGCCGCGCGCACCATGAAAAAGTATGGGGAAGAGTGCCGCTTGACGCGTACGGAGCTGGACAAGAAGCTTCGCGCCCTGGAGGAGGAGGGCGTTTTCCTGAAAAAGAACCACGAGGAAGAAGTGGCGGAGCTTCTCGAGCAGATTCACGGTGCGCAGGTGAGCTTTGACATGCGGGACACGATGAAGAGTGACGTGACCGGCGCACTGCGAGAGATCCGCGCGCAGCTGGACGTCCATGCATCCAAGAACTCAACACAAGCCGAAGAATGGTTTAAAGGTGAGTAGAGTGAAAACGGAAAGTCAAAGTGTTAGTTTAGTTAAAGAAGAGAAAACTATTACGTGAGCTTTAAATGCGAATCATAGTGTTTTTCTCTTTTCAGGAGCTTGCAGTATAGTGCAGACATCAGGTTTGCAAGGATTACTATTTTGTTTTAAATATTAACATATCAACAATACAACTATGAAGCAAACGGGTCCTTGATAAGCGTTAGACCAAACCAAATTCCCAGATTGCAAATCCATTTTCTACTAAATGGAGAGGTTTAATAAGAGAATCAAGTCAGATATCCTGAATATAAAATGCAGAAATGTAACCCCGGTAATAATATGACTTGCAGTTTGAATGGTTATCCTCTATGGGTGCATCGCTGCCGCAGAGTGATTTCTACTTAAGGCAGGCACTGCAGGAGAGAGATGGCACAAAGAGAGGAGACTATGATTCATTTGCTCTCTCACAGTGGGTAACAGTGGGTGTGCTGCTGCTTCCCCCAATCTGCACTATGTGTTTCTCTCACCCTGAACCTCTACAAATAGAATAGCCACTTCAAGGTCACTGTTTGTGGTAGGAGAACACGAATAATACTGCTCCATCACTCTAGTCATCCTTTATGATGTCGTGACTGGAGCTCTCCAAAGACATGGAAGTAAGCTAGTATTTAGATATGATGGAGAGATGATAGATGAAGACACATGCAAGGAAATGCAGCATCAGGTCCACACAGCACTTCTGACCTTTTGTGGTATACTGTGCAAATAGACAGTCGACAGCTTTACAGGCCATGCAGGTTTTCTCTTAACTGCATGTCACAGAATGATTTATAGATCCACCCTTGCTGCACATCTACATGCTGACGTGATAGAACAAGTGAAAGGTGTAAACAGAATGACCTTCCCTGTGAGGTCCGGCTGACTGCAGCACTGTGGTTCTTTCATGCTTGGAGGAGGGAGGGAGCTGAGTCAGATGGAAACTGCCAAGGTTACTCAGTAGAAACTCCCTGAGGACGGGTTAAATGTCTCAGGACCAAGATTAACAAAAAAAGACAAAACTATGAATAATTCAGAATTTCTCTAAACTCCAGCAGATCACTTTATACTGTGTTTGCACCAATGGAAGGACACAGCAAATGTGATTTCTGAATTGTGTTCAATCTCTGCAGTGCGCATGAACCGTCTGTCTGACGCTGCTCGCACCAACCATGATGCAATTCGTGGAAGCCAGGAAGAGATTGGAGAGTACCGCCGTCAGCTCCAGAGCCGCACCATCGAGCTGGAGACTCTTCGGGGAACCAAGGACTCCCTGGAGAGGCAGCGTATGGAGTGTGAAGACAGACACCACGATGACCTCAACTCCCTACAGGCATGACATCCACACACACATCTCATTTATCCCCAAAAAGGGAAACACACATGCATTGCACATTTCCTTTTATAACATCTGCATCATATTTGATTTGTTTTCTTTTTGCAGGAAACCATTAATCACCTGGACAATGAGCTGAAAACCACTAAATGGGAGATGGCCAGCCAGCTGAAGGACTACCAGGAGCTGCTGAATGTGAAGATGGCTCTAGATGTTGAGATTGCTGCTTATAGGTTGGTCACGATTTCAAACCACACATAATTAAATTGATTCTTTAGTTATTTACCTTTTCCCTGACTACGTGTTGTTGTCTTTTAAACAGGAAGTTACTGGAGGGAGAGGAGAATCGCTTTGTTTCAGGAGCAGGTCCCTACTCTTACATCGAGAGCAGAATCTCTTCCCACTTGAAGATGAAAGCAGAGGAAATCTCAGATACAGTCATCGTGGAGGAGCAGACCGATGAGACCCAGGTGACAGAGGTCACAGAGGAGGCAGATGAGGATGAAGAGGAGGGAGAAGAGGAAGAAAAAGACGAGGAAACCAAAGAAGATGAGGAAGAAGGAGAGGGAGAAGATAAGGACGAGGAAGGAGAGGGAGAAGAAGACAAGGAGGAAGATAAGGAAGAAGAAGGGAAGGGAGAGGAAGACGAGGCAGATGAGGAAGAAGATAAGTCAACATCTCCAGAAAAGAAGGGATCTCCTCAGCCTAAATCACCAGTATCCAAATCACCAGCACCCAAATCCCCGGCTAAGTCCCCTGCAGTGAAATCCCCCGCAGGAGCAGAGTCAAAGTCACCTGAGTCCAAATCCCCTGAATCCAAGTCTCCTCGTCCCTCAACCCCTGAACTGAAGTCCCCAGAAAAAGAGAAGGCCGAGCCCGCCGCCACTAAAGAAACCCCAGAAGAGGGGAAGAAAGAGGAGAAGCCTCAGCCTGTCAAGGAGGAAAAGAAGGAGAAAGAAGAGCCCGTGAAGGAAGAGAAGAAGGAAGAGAAGAAGCAAGAGCCCAAGGAGAAAGAGCCCGAGAAGGAAGAGAAGAAGCAAGAGCCCAAGGAGAAAGAGCCCAAGGAGAAAGAGCCCGAGAAGGAAGAGAAGAAGGAAGAGCCCAAGGAGAAAGAGCCCGAGAAGGAAGAGAAGAAGCAAGAGCCCAAGAAGGAAGAGCCCAAGAAGGAAGAGCCCAAGAAGGAAGAGCCCAAGAAGGAAGAGCCCAAGAAGGAAGAGCCCAAGAAGGAAGAGCCCAAGAAGGAAGAGCCCAAGGAGAAAGAGCCCGAGAAGGCCGATAAACCTGATGCTAAGAAAGAGAGCAAGGCAGAGGACGCTTCAAAACCTGCAGATGCCAGCAAGCCCTCAGAGGACAAGCCCACGTCTGAGCCTAAAGAGAGCGCTCCCCCCACCAAGGAGGAGAAACCCGCTGCTCCTAAATCTGAGAAGACCGAGCCCGAGACAAAGCCTGCACCTAAAGCCGAACCCGAGAAAACAGACAGCAAGAAAGACGAGAAGAAGCCCGAGGCTAAAAAGGAGGCTGGTAAAGATGAGAGCAAGGAAGTGAAGGATGAAGGGAAGCAGGAGAAATCCTCTGGCACCGAGGTAAAGGACAAGGAGGAGAAAGTGAAGAAGTAAAACTGATAAGCTGTGATTGAAGGCACAAAGGGAGGAGGAAGTGGAGATGCCAAAGAACTATGAGAAGTGAAGGAAGGCAGGGTAAAGAGCAGGAGTAAGAAGCTTGATGCTCCCAGCTGTTCAGATGGACGCCTTAATGTCCAAAGTAAAGCAGGTTATGGTATAAGCAATAGTGAGTTCTGTAGCAAATAACCCCCAGCACCCTGAGTATGGCCATTACCCCCTCCCCTGAGCTTCTGATGTATGACTGTAGTGAATGCTCTAAACTCTTTATCTGAATGTGACAACTAAATAACAAGTGCATTTAAAATGAATCCCGCTGAGGGGAACTTGCTGAGATATAAAAAAAAATTCAAGTGAGAGATTGTGACAGATATTATATATATATATATAAACAAGTATATTTAAAGAGATACAAATGTCTATATTATATTTACACATACTTCAGTAAGAAAAACTTGAATTTATGCTTGATGTGCACCTTGCTGCTGCTGCTTCTCCTGACAGGTGAACTGCAGCGTCTCACTTCTCTGGTCTGCAATGCTAGGACAATGATGACTATGTGTTATGTATGAACTGCTGAGAATATGCAATATGAAACAGATAAATAAAGAATAATATCAAACACAGAAGGCGTTTGGGAGATTGTCTTTACATTGCATGCAAAACAGAGTCAATTGCACGCTGACCCTCAAGTGAGGATTCGTGAAGGAGAAGTGTCAAGAGTAATCAAGGTGTGAGGCTTTAAAGGGTAAATGCTGCCAGTGACTGCACTGCATTGCGGACAATGAGAGGGGGAGCTGTACCCCACCAAAGCAGACACCGCACCCTTTCTCACATCCCATAGACCACGCTCATGTATAAATCAGGAGCGGTGATGCTTGCCTGCACGAAACACATTCAATTTAGCCTCTTACTTCCACTCCTGCCTCCTCACTGCAAAGAGGAAAGTCCACACACTGAAGCTGTGGTTCAAAATAACCATAAACACAAGTCAATATCTTTAATATCACGAGTACGGTTAAGATTAATAAGGATCAGGCCTTTTTGAATTTGAAAACAATACAACATTTGTCATTATCCGGTTATGCATTAAAGTAGTATTTGAGCTATTCATAGATTTTAAACGTTGATATTGTCTGTAGCTGCCTATCCATTAGGATGAGTAGAGCAGCAGCTTCAAAAACCCACCCATCTTTTTTTATAGATACATTTATTGACATTGGTCACACGGCTAACTCAGGAAGATTTGTTCAACCTGGCAGGGCTTTAGTGTTTTCTTCACCTCCAATGTTTGTATCACGTAATGACACACTAATCATTTTGAGTATATCCAAATATAAGAGTTATTTTACCCTTAAATATTGAAATGGAAATGTTCCCATGCAACAATGTGTGCCTTAATAGAAGTACATGAGCCAACATCGTTTATTTCTTTTGTTCCCATGGTTCCCATATAAGGAGGAGTACCAGATTGCACCACCTTCTACACCATTGAAGATGCTCATGAATGAAAACAGCGGCTTTGTCTTCTTCTACATACACCCACATATCTGAGGGATTACTGTCTGGATTTGGATGCATCCCAATGGAATTGGATGGATATTTTAGCTCCTCTAGACTGCTGCTAGCTAATCATAACATGTGAGTATTCCTTGATTGAAATGGCTCCAGTATCCAGAATAACCTGTTTTTTCTCAGTTAAATAATGCAGGATTATAAATGAAAGGTCCAAAGCTAACTTTGGACATTTCATTTATACTTTGCTGACTGCAAAATATACCAAATATCATATTCCTTGGATTTAAATCTCTGGGGAAATGAAGCAGCGAAGGAACCACAACGGCATAATAATCGGAGTGCAGACGTCGCCTATAAATAGAGCCGCACGGAGAGGTGAGTAGGAGAGGAAGGAAGAGGGATGGAAAAGAGAATTTAGATTACACAGCAAAGCACTGTTTTAAATAGACCAGATACACACTCATTCAAGAAAATAACACAGATTTTATTTCCAAACATGTAAAATGACTTTTAAAAATGTATACTTTCTGGAGCCACAAAAAGGTAAGCATACAGGAGTTACATTTGTAAAGTACAGCACTGAGAATCATATGGACAAATCTAGCGGTGACTGAAGAAGCCCTGAGGGTGGTTGTACTTGAACGGCTTCAGACGATTTGGACCCCTGAGGAAGAGAGTGACATGTCAGCGATACAGTTTATTCACATACAGATACATTTTGTGAGCTGATGGCTTCTTGTGACCGTGTACCTGACGGTGCGCAGGCACATCTTTTCTCTGGGAAACTCTAGTGGTCCCTCCACACTGTCATCTTGACCTTCAGTCTCCAAATAAACATCCAGGCAGACACAGAGGCGTGAAATCTGATTGGTCAGGAGCTGGTGTCCCGGGCGGGGCCCCTGCAGTTCATTTTTGAACACATTGATCTCGCTCTCCATGGCCTGAAAAAAGCAAAGATGAGACTGAAATATCTGGACGTAAAGTGAGATGGCGCAACAACAGAGAACAACCTAAGTGATCAATATTGACAAATGCTCATACTCGAAGGTTGTCATCTGTGCGTCCGGTGCGCTCTCCCTTCCAGCTGAGGGAGAGGGAGAAGAGGGGGGAGATTTCTGGGTAACGGGGACTCAGCACCAAGGCGGCCTGGAGACGAGCTGAGAGGAGAAAGATAAGGGCAGGATTGTTATAAGAAACAAATAAAAAATATAGTTATTGAAATGGCCAATTCTAGCATTAGTGTTAAAGTTACCTGTGCCTCTTTCCACCACAGACATAAAGTACAGATCTGACTCCTTTGCCAGCCCAGCATCAGACACATGACGAGTATATGGCAGCTCCTACCGACCAAGAGAAATATCACAGTAAGACAAGGTGACCGGTAATTTAAAATATCAATGCATATGTGGTGATGTGTGTATACCATGTACTCCTGCTGAGTGATGGTGGTCCAGCGGGATAAACGGGAGATGATCTTGGCAGGAAAGAGGTGCTGACACTCACTGGAGACCGGGATGATGCTGTGCTCTGAGGGCAGGTGCACAAATAAACTCAGTCAAAATGTCATATCTCCTCTTCAGCACTATTTGTTCTTTGATGGTTAACATGAATTGTACCTAAAGAGCCAAACTGTTTGTGCAAAGCCAAGCGAGCCTGCAGCCGTCCCCTCAGCAGCTTCATGGTGTTCTCCATGTGGCTGGCACTCAGAGAACTGCCCACACTCACACCCTGGAGAGACATGAGCATAGAGGAATATGACGAGGCTGTAACCCACGGAAACTGCTGCACAACAGGGATCATTTCAACACACACCTCTGAGGAGTCTTTAGGGAAATGTAGTCCTCCCAGACTCTGAACCCACATGTAGGGATGGCCCAGCTCCTCCACATAATCAGCAAAGGTAACAATCCTGAAAGGAAATGTTGAGTTATTTTCTTAAATTCAAAAAGGTAGGATTCTCCATACATCTTCTAATTTCCTTTAATAACTTCACATCCTCACCCGACTTTATCAAACTGGTAGCGATTCGCTGGATTGGGTGTTTCTTTGCCCTGGTCGCTGCTGTAGAGACAGCTGAGTAGAGTGTCTGATTTCAGCAGGTCCCTGTAGAGGAAGACATCATTAGACATTCAGTGACACAGATAGGTAGGCAGGGTGCTTTGAGCGGTATTTCAGGTGTTTCAAAAGTACTTTCACACCGGAGTACTTTTCCCTTTTAGTTCCGATAGTTCCTGGGATTTTGCGTTCACACCAAAAAGAGAATTTAGTTCATGAGAACTTTTCCGCACTTTTCAGTTCCTGCTAGACAGCAGGGACTTTCCTGGGGAGAAAAAAGTTCCAATTTCTGATTGGCTGGGCGAATTGCAAACCACGGCCCATAAAATTCGGAAAACTTTTGTATTTGCTGGAATTAGCATTATTAGCATTAGTCCCGCGCACCAACGGAGAGAGAATAACTTATGGCAACACAAAAAAAAACATGGGAGCGGTGGAGTGATGAGGAGGTGTCGGCGTTCTGGCGATTTACTCGGAAGCCAGTCCCCAACTCCGGGGACTTCCGGCCGGGGACTTCGGGTGGCAGTGTTTGTGGCCTGCCAGTAAACCCAAAGCAGAAGAAGAAGTGACGTCAGCGGCTTCATTTGCGTTATCTTCCCTCAGGGAACTTATTCCGGTGTGAACGCAATCTGCTCTTAGTTCCATGGGGGAACTAAGTACGGCAAATTACTTGGTGTGAAAGCGGCTAAAGTGGGGTTTTATTAGATACAAGTATAGTCAGTGTATAACCTACAGAAGATGATACAGTATGGAGAAACAGGCAGGAGTTACGGCCCGGGACGTGTTTTTTGCCAATCAAGACAGCAGTAGACCATAAACCTTTGTGCTGCTGTTTTGGTTAATGGAGTCTGGTGGCTTTTATAAGAGAGCATAGATAACGGCTTAAGGCTTCTAAGGTCTTTGATGTCAAGGTAAAGCGTTGAAGATATTCCAAAAATAGCAAGACGCTGATGTTTATCGATGTACATTTTGCTGCTGCATCATCCACGGCAGTGCATTGCTTTACTCCTGTGCCAGAACTCCATTATGTTTCTCCAAACTGGGGCTGTGCTGATTGCCATCTACTGTAGGTAATAGACTATGGCCAAGTACTTCATATAACCTCACTTTAAACGATCTGAAACTATCTCTTTAAGGCTACACACACACACACACACAACACAGACACACAGACCCTGCGCTGATGGCCGAGTTGAGGTCTGTTGAGGTGGAGACCTTGGCCTTGACAGTCGTAATGTTCAGATTCATCAGGTAGTAGAAGTGGAGATGGAGGATGCTGCCATCTGTGGAGACATAATAGATAACACATGGTGAGGAACTAATCCATTACTAGCTCATTGCTGCTGCCCCCCCCCCTCCTCTTTTCATTACTCCTCCCAGTGAACGTCCCCCAGGGTTTACTTCACACTGCAGCGCATCGGAGCAATAACAGGGTGTGGTCACGACGGCAGCTAGCAGCACTCGGGGGATACATATACAATGCTGATGGTCAACCTTCACACTCCCCCTCCCTGCAGTCACTGTGAACTCTGAGGCACTCTGTCATTCACTGAAACCTGCGCTGCTCTCTTTTCGCCTTTACTGCAGCAAATTGACTGCTGCAGCTGGCACCAGTGAAGAAAAAGGGGCAGGGGGAAGACACTAGAAACACAAGCAGAGGTTAGAGAACGACCGGTGATGAGAAAATATGCTTACAGCATGTTGTAGGTGCTGCAGACTCAAAATGCTGCAAGCATCTCTCTCCCCTCTCTCCCCTCCTTTAGGTAGAGTTACGCCTGCAATGCAGATCTCCCTGTAATCTGTCACTATTCCTCTTATTGCCAGCAGAGGGAACACAAGGGTCAAGTGGTGTCATAACATCATGCTGGCAGACCAGGTCAGCTTACTTTCTTTCACTTACTATTCGTTAGGTTTAGAGTTCCATCTGGCTGGAATGCACAGACCTAGCTGGTGCAGACTTTAATAATTGAAGTCAACATGAATGTAGAATGAGTTACCTTTACACTTGAGGTCTAAGCAGAGCGACAGAGGGTGCCTTTTCAGCATCTCCTTT